TCCCACATACCACTCTCTGCACAGCCCCCCCCAAAAAATCAAAATGACACAAAAATGAACAGGCTGACAGAGCTCACTTCCACCCACATCCCCATGCAATCATGGGGGGGGTCCCCGCCCCCACAGGGGCCATCCACTATCCTCTGGATGCTCATTTAGCCAGTCCCCCACTTACAGACATTTGGGGTGTTGCTAACCCTGCTCTGCAGACTTTGCTGAAGTGAATGTCGGTGGGTAAATGTCATGTCCTGCGACATGGCCCTTTGCTGTGAGACTGCCATTGTGCCAAAGACTTTAGGTCTACCCTCATCTCACTCCATCCTTACAACAATGCTAACAGGTGAACGTGTGTTGTTAAAGAGAAGAGAAAGGCTCAGAAAGATGTCCCTCATGGCTGAGGCAGGTGGGATGTAGGTACTTCCTGACTTCAGGGTCCTAGGCCTTAGGCACTCTGCCCCTCAAGGACATAAATCTCCAGTCTCTGGGGCCTGACCCTAACTCACCAGGTGCCATAAGCTGACCCTTCATCTCCTTTCAGTTACAGCCGCTGTCTGGAGCTGATGCTGACCCAGGTGTCCCATCGTGGCCCCATGTGCCACCTCATGGTGGCTTCCCACAATGAGGACTCTGTTCGCCAGGCAACCAAGCGGTATGAAGTAGGGGAATGGAAATAAGTGCCCAAAGGCTGGTTGACAAGGGGAAGGACTGTGTGGGCCAGTAGGTTCAAAGGGGGTCTGGGGAGAATATTCAAAATATTCAACCCCTGCTACACCTGTAGGCTCCAGCTGAACAAGGAACTGCCCCTTATTTGCTGGGGAATAGGGAAGCCCAAACATTTCAGGAAAGGAGCTGAGACTAACCAGGGAGCTTTCAGGGGTCCCAGGGCCATGGTTATTTATCAGTGAGTTTGGAAATACTTCAATATTTGAATAACTAGAAGAGCCATATGAGTGTGCTGTGGCTAACTTTCAGCTCTGGATCCAGCCACTGTCTGGATTGATGATGTGACCTTTTTTGTAGCATGTGGGAGCTGGGCATTCCTCCAGATGGGCCAGTCTGCTTTGGACAACTTCTGGGGATGTGTGACCATGTCTCCTTGGCACTAGGTATGTAAGTGATCAGTCCCTCCCAGCCCCTACTCCCACCTCCCACCTAACCTGCCCCAGCCTCATTCCCTCACAAACAGATCCCTTCTCCCATTCCCAGACTATGCCTGGCCAGGCTCCCATTAACAGCCTGCAGCCAGCCCAGTGGCAGGCCCTTCCAGAGAGGTCTGTCCCATATCTGAAGGCCTCACGGGCCTGTGTCTCTGCATCTGTGTTCTGTTGTTTCTGTCTTGATCTTGGTATCTTGGTTCTCGATCTTGGTATCTTGTTTCCCGTCTGCTTTGTTATCTTTACTGTATTGTTCCCCAGGGCCTGAGACCAGAAGATTTATGTTTTCTTCTGCCAGGAGCTAAGGGGTACAAAATCACTGTACCCTAACTTCACAGCTTGAGGTTTCTAGAGATATCCCAAGGATCCACACTGGGGCTGCAAATATTTTAGGAGACTAACCCATGGTAACGGGCTTCCCCGGTGGCTCGGCAGTAAAGAATCTGCCTGCAATGCAGGAGATGCAGGAGACGCAGGTTGGATCCCTGGGTCAGGAAGATCCCCTGGAGGAGGGTATGGCAACTCACTCCAGTATTCTTGCCTGGAGAATCTCATGAACAGAGGAGCCTTGTGAGCTAACAGTCCATAGCCTGTAGGCAAAGTCTGACAATGACTGAAGTGAATGAGTGCACAGACACACAACCCATGGCCACAACCTCTCAGAGATGAATTTCTGTTTTCTTCCTTGCTCTGTTTATGGTCAAGGCCAACTTTCCTTATGGGAGAGTTGACTTATTGTTAACTCTTACTCTGAGGGTCTAGATTTTGAGGTTCACACTTAATCTGGGGAAGCTCTCCTTTGTAACTCTTAATCCTGGTCATGCTTTAGGCCTCCATTTCTGTACCCCCTTAACTTTGAAGTCATTAGACAGAAACTCAGTTTTGCCCTCAGGAAAGAAACGCTTCTTGTGTAATCCTTCTGCTCTGGGTTCTCTCTCTCTTTTTTTATTTTTAAACTTATTTTTGGCTGTGCTAAGTCTTCATTGCTCTGTGGTCTTTTCTCTAGCTGTGGTGAGCAGGGGGTTACTCTCTAGTTGCAGTGCACGGGCTTCTCATTGCAGTTTCTCCTATTGCAGAGCATGGGCTCCAGGCATGGGGGCTTCAGTAGTTGCGGCATGTAGGGTCAGTATTTGTGGCACGTGGGCTTAGTTGTCCAGTGGCATGTGGGATCTTCCCGGACCAGGGATTGAACCCCTGTCTCCTGCATTGGCAGGCAGATTCTCTACCACTTAGCCACAAAAGAAGCCCCTCATTTTCTCTTAATTCTTGAATTAGTAAATTCTTTATTCTCTTTGCTTCCCTAATAGCTCAGTTGGTAAAGAATTCACCCACAATGCAGGAGACCACGGTTGGATTCCTGGGTCAAGAAGATTCCCCTGGAGAAGGGATATGCTACTCACTCCAGTATTCTTGGGCTTCCCTTGTGGCTCAGCTAGTAAAGAATCCACCTGCAATTTGGGAGACCTAGGTTCGATCCCTGGGTTGAGAAGATCCCCTGGAGAAGGGAAAGGCTACCTACTCCAGTATTCTGGCCTGGAGAATTCTATGGACTGTATAGTCCATGGGGTTGCAAAGAGTTGGACACGACCGAGCAGGTTGTGTCCTGCTCGGACACACTTTCACTTTATTCTCTTTTCAGCATTTTTATAACTTTGAGAATTTTTTATTTTTTTTTTCCCAATTATTTTTATTAGTTGAAGGTTAATTACTTTACAATATTATAGTGGTTTCTGCCATACATTGACATGAATCAGCCATGGACTTACATGTGTTCCCCATCCTAAGCCCCTCTCCCACCTCCCTCCCCATCCCATCCCTCTGGGTCATCCCAGTGCACCAGTCCCGAGCACTTCTCTCATGCATCCAACCTGGACTGGCGATCTGTTTCACACTTGATAATATACATGTTTCGATGCTGTTCTCTCAGATCATCCCACCCTCGCCTTTTCCCATAGGGTCCAAAAGTCTGTTCTATACATCGAGAATTTTTTATTTTAATGTTTACTCCAGGAGTTTTAGTTTTTTCAGCAGGAGATTTTGTCCAACTCACCTAATCTGTCATGCTCTCAGAAATAGAAGTCTCTGTTCCAGATGGAGCCTAGGGGAGCCTCTCACCAAACTTGAGCCCACACCCTGCCAATACTCTCCCTCCAGGGCAGGCTGGCTATGCTGTGTACAAGTCCATCCCCTATGGCTCCCTGGAGGAGGTGATCCCTTACCTGATCCGGAGGGCCCAGGAGAACCGAAGTGTACTACGGGGTGCCCGCAGGGAACAGAAGCTGCTCAGCCAAGAACTTCGGCGGAGGCTGCTGGGGCGGGGCCTGAGGGTATCCCCCCATTAGCACCCCCAGGAGTCACGTGGTCAATAAAGTTCTTGAGCTGTTGCCCAGGCAGCTGCCTTGCACTGAAGCCACCTCTTTGGGGAAGGGCTCTTCCTGACCTCAACCAGCCCAAGTTCGGGGGCTCTGTGGCTCAAGAGGATCTTTACATGAGCACAGCGAGGGCATTGATCAAAGACTAAGGAGGTCCCCCCACAACCCTGGGGCAGTCTGTCCTGCAAAGGGCCTGGGGTCAGCTCTACTCAACCAGTCAGTGGCTGACATGGGAATTTTCTTCACTCCTGTGGACACCCAGGTAAACAGCACAGATGAAAAGCCGACACTGAAACACTGAAATCTAGAGGCTAGGCTAAGGCCCACATCCAGGGAGGGACAGAGAGAAGAGCAAACCACTGTCTCACTTAATAAGCATTTACTGAGGCTCCTTCTGAGCTAGGCTCTGAGGTAAACAACGCTGGGGACACAACAGAGACCAACACAACCCCAGGCCTGGCCTCACTGGGTTTTTAGTCCAGTTGGGGTAGACAGACCCACCTTCAGACAGTGACAGCCCAGGGTGATCAGGGCTGTAATGGGGGAACTCGGGGGAGTGTCTGGGCAAACTTGCGGAAAGTCCAGAGGCTGAAGGAGGCCAGAGGAGACAGCTGGTAATCAAGAGGGCTTCCAAGAGAATTCACAAGAATAACTAAGTAAATATTGAGAAGAGCGTTCAAAGACAAGGGCATGTGCACAAACAGACTGGGAAATGGGGAGACAAGGATGAGGGGGCAGATGATGCAGTCTTAGATGCCACACTGCAGGGCTTCAACTCTGTCCAAGGCCACTAGGGGGTCAAGAAGGTTTGAAGTAGGGAAGGGGCAGAGTCAGGTAGGGCTTTAGTTAGGAGTTTCCTGGCTGTCACATGATGGGTGGACTAGTGAAAATAACCACCAGGAGACTGAGTGGAAGGGCCATGGAGCTGATAGGCTGGATCTGAGGGAGACATTCAGGGTGAGACCCAGGGCTCTGGGTGAGAGGGGACAGTGGGACCAACTCTTAAGATGGGGATCTGGCAGGAAGTGCAGTTTGGAGGAGATACTGAAGCCAGTGTGGGACCAGGTAGGTGTGAAGGTCCCAGGGGACGTCCTGGGAGAGGTGTTCAGCACACTGAGGAGCCCACATGTGGGGCAAAGGAGAGAGACTGGGGCAGAGACGAACAGGAAACTGCCCGTGGGGTTGGGATGAGAAGCATAGGAAGACAGCCGAGGACAGGTATGGTGAAAGGCTGGGCATTCCAAACAACAAGGCAGTAACATTAGGGAGCAGCCGCAGCTCTGGGGTGGACAATGCAGTCTCTTCTACCGGGTCACCTCACGGCCATAAGAGTAGCTCTCAGGGGCAGGAGGCTACTGCGCAAGTGCAAAGATGGCTGGCGATCACTGATGCGCATGCGCCTGGAATTGCCGCCTAGACCTCCGGAACGTCAGCGTGGGGTCACGTGGCAGTCACGTGGTGATGAGTGTCCGAGCACTTCCTTGGACACTCCTGTCTCACAGCCTGTAGACTGCACCTCTCTCTCAGGTCCTAACCCTCAGAGCCCTCTTCCTCCCGCCCCTATGTAGTCTTCAGACTCTCTTCCCAAGCCCCTGACTCCTATCCTCATAGTCCTTACTACCCCTCTGCCACAGAGAGCAGATTTCCTTAGCTTCTTTTCACTCCTAGACTGCCTTGGACCCCTGACCTTCTGATCTGAAGCTCTCCCATGTGCCACCCTACTTCTCATTCAGACGCCTCTCTCCAAATCACACCCCTCCCAAATCGCCTTTCTTTCTCAGACTGCCCCCCCAAGACTCACAGCCAGCTCTGTCTTTATTGCCCCCAGAGATCTAGTCCTCCACGTCCTCCTGCCCTCATGAGACCTGCTCACTGATCCCTGGCCAGGAGCTGACGGAGTCCACAGATGCCCTCACTGCGTTCTCGATTCCCTGTGGAGCTGGGCTGTGTTCCGGATCCAGAAAGCCAGGTGGGCCGACTGCATCGCCTGGCTGTGGCTGGGGGCGCAACCTGGGGCCTCACCCGACTCCTGCGGAGAGGTGAGTTTGGCTGCTGAAACTGCCTGGGGGAACGAGATCAAGGAGCAGAAAGGAGGATGCAACTTCAGTTGACCAGTTAACAGTTGTGTATCAGGCACCTGTCATGTGCCAAGGTGCTGTTGTCTGTGATGGAGACTTAGGGGTGAAAATGACCCTCCAGATCGTTGTGAATTAAATCTATAATGAGGATTTAAGAGAGTGATGAGAATGAGGGAGACACCCTGGAAGGATGGGCTTTCAAATGGGTTGATACTTGGGTCCCACAGCCTAAGAGCCAGTCATGGAAACAGCTGGGGAAAAAGCACTTCAGAGGAAATAGCCAGTGCAAAGGCCCTAAAATCAAAACAAACTGGGTACACGGTATTGTAAAGCAATTATTCTCCAATTAAAAATAAATTTTAAAAGCAAAAAAACCCCCACAGACCCAAAAACTGGGGATATGTAAGTAGTAGCAGGGAGCAAAAGGACTCAGGGAGACAGCAACTACAGACAGGAACAGGCCTTAAGAGTAGTGTGAATTTTGTTGGATTTGTGTGTGTGTGTAATTGGAAACCCCTGGAGTTGTAGGCAGGAAATTAACACGATCAAACTTACAGTTTCTGTTGTTCACTGATTTTTGTAAGTTGATTGTGTATCCAGCCACTTTCTGAACTTGCTTAATAGTTTTGTGTGTTGATTCTTTTACTTCATTGTTAATCTGCAGACAGTGACAGTTTGGTCTCAGCTATTCAGTCTTTAAACCACAGTCTCTTTTTTTCTGTCATAAGGTGTTGGCCAGAACTCCTAAACCTTGTTATCAATGGACATCTCTTTTATTATTGATATTAAAGAGAAGAGTCGTATGTTTCTGCATTAGGTACTTTGCTTGCTCTTGGGTTTTGATTTGTAATTTTTATCAAGTAAGAAACTTTCCATCTATTCTTAGTTTTCTGAGGTAGAGATTTTTTCCCTAATCATAAGTAGGCATTGAATTTTTTTTGTTTTTTGGTATTGAATTTTACTAAGTGCTTTTTCTACATCTACTGATACAGTTAAATGTGATTTTTATTTTTTAATTTGTGAATGTGTTTTTTTACATTGATAGATATTCTTTTGTTGATTCATCCTTGCCTTCTGGGAATAAATTGATTGGGTTACCCCTTTTACTTTATTTAGGGGCTTTGCATATATGATCATAATTTGAATTGATGTATGACTTCATTTCTGGTTCTGGAAACTCTCATCTGGTTTTGGAGTTAAGTCATATTTTGCCTCATAAAAATGAGCCTTACCCTCTTGCCCTGGGTACCTTTGTGCGATTTAAAAAATTTATTTATTTGTGGCTGCACTGGGGTCTTCACTGACGTGCAGGCTTTTTCTCTAGTTGTGCTCCACGGGCTTCTCATTGCGGTGGCTTCTGTTATTGTGGAGCATGGACTCTAGGCCGTGGGGCTCAGTAGTCGAGGCTCCCAGGTTCTAGAGCACAGGATCAGTAGTTGTGGTGCATGGGCTTAGTTGCTCCACGGCCTGTGGGATCTTCCCAGACCAGGGATTGAACCTGTGTCTCCTGCACTGGTAGGTGGATTCTTTACTGAGCCACCAGGGAAACCCCTTTTGTGTGATTTTTTGACAACTCTGGGATGGGGACGTAGATATTGGCAGGGCAGGTAGACGTCATGTTGTTCCAGTTCTGTGGACTTACTGGCGAGGAGTGTGTTGAGATGGATTCTGAGGCAGAGTCCCCAGCGGCTGGAAGGTGGCGGTTCCAGGGCATAGAGATGGAATCAAGGGTCACCCAGTCAGGAGGGATTATGGGGGCTGGGAATTGGGAAAGGTGTTGCCAGGACGTCTGCCCCTGGAGTAAGGGGCGGGAATAGTCCTAAGCCTCGCTCCCCCTCAGTTGTCCAGGTAGACGGTGAGAACTCGGCCGGACAGACGGCGCTCTTCCTCTCGGCACTACTGGGCCACAGCTCGGCCGTGCAGCTCCTGCTAGCCTCTGGTGCCAACCCCAACCAGTAAGTGGACACGTGGTGATGCCCCCAAACTCCCAGCGACCTGAGTCTGAGCCCCAGAGAGCCTGAGAGCCAGGGCTATCTTCCCCAGAGACCCAACGTCTCTCAGATCCCCTCCTATCCCCAGTGACCCATCTTGTTCTCTCAGTTAACCTCTTCTTGTCCTCCAGAAACTATTCCCATCTTCCCGGTGCCTCCATGCTCATCGCCATCCTCTCACCCTCTCAAGGACTCCACTATGTCCCCAAGTGAGCCCCCCATCCCGATGTCCTCCTCCCTCGAGCATAGTGGCCCCATATCCCTCCATGCTCCCCTCCTGCTACCACCTGTCCCTGTTCCGTCCATTTCCTAATCCATTCCTGTCCTCCCTGTTCCGCTGCAGCCGCTGCCTGGACGGCAGCACACCCATGCATGCGGGCGCCTTCTCGGGCTGTAGCCTGGTGCTCCTACACCTGCTGCAGGCAGGCGGTGACCTGCGTCTGCGTGACCAGCAGGGGCGCAGCCCTCGGGACTGGGTAGAACAAGGTGGTACCAAGCAGAGCTGGGAGGTGAGCTGTGGCCAGGGTGGGCTGAGGGCCTCAGGGCCAGGCCCCCCACCACGCCTCACCCCGCATGCTCCTCGCCCCGTCCAGATGCTGGAACTGTTACAGCTGTGCCGGGCCCACATGTCAGCCCTGGTGCACGGCAGTGAGTTGGCGCCCGCTGCCTCCCTGGGCCAGTGGCAGGCCAGCTCTGGACACAGCCTGTGTGGTGGTCTGCGGCTGGTGCAGGCGGACAGGTAACGGTGCACATCCTGAGGCCTGCCCACCCACCACGCCTGGCTTCTCTGGACTTACTCTCAGATGGCCCTTTACCTCAGGGCATGGAGACCGGAGCGGACCAGGAGACCCTCCCATGTCCCTGCCTTAGGGTTTGGCCAGGTAAGCGGGAGATGTGAGAGGGAGTGGTGACCACGGCGTCCGTCCTCTTCCTGCTTCACAGTCCCGCTCCCCACCCCCAGCTGAGCAGCCTGTGGCCACTGGGGCTGGTAACAGGCGTACCCCTCGCGGACCCCAAGGAGCTGCTACCAGCGCAGGGCGAGCCCGACCGCACCTACAGGAGCAGCTCCCACACCCTCATGGCCAAGTGAGAGCCCCTCCCACACCCTGCCTGGTGTCCAGCAGAGCTGGGGAGAGTCCGGCCCTCCTGCCCCCCTCACCGGGAAACCCCTTGTCTCAGACCCGTGCTCTCTCCCCTCCGCCTTCCTCCAGCCTCCTGTGGAGGGGCCACCCCGTGACTGTGCGGCAGCTGAAGGTGCCAGAAGCCCAGGCTGATGTGCTGTTGGCTGACCTTCAACACTGCAGGTGGGTCCCTCCAGCCGGCCCCCCAGGCCCGCCGTCTTCTGCCCGCCCTGCCCGACTTGAATGGAAATAGATGACCAGGGAATGTGGTGGTGGCCGTGGTTACAGCCTTCACCCCTGGGCCAGCACTTGGCATGGAGCCCTCCTACTGGAATGACCCACCTCACCACAGGAAAGTGGGCACCCAGTTCTGTAGGCCTCGGAGAGGAGTGAGTGGTGGGAGGGTAGCATGGACAGTGGTGCTGGCCCCACCACTGCCAGGCTCTGTGACCCAGGGTCACCGTTTCTCCTCTGTCCGGTGACTGAGGCAGATGGTCAGCTCCCGGCCGGGCAGGCTGGGGCCTCCTCACGAGCAGCCTGCTCTCCTTCTGCCCAGCGCCCTGCACCACCCCAGCCTGCTGCTGCTGATGGCACTGTGTCCCTCGGAGGACCTGTCGGGGCTGTGCCTTCTCTTCGAACCTGTGTGGCTGGGCTCCCTGCATGTGGTGCTACACCCCCGGGGCCCACGAGAAGGGGGGCCCCCCCACCTCGTGCCAGGCCTGCTGCCGGGCCACCTGCTGCTGCAGGTGCTGGAGGCCCTGCTGTTCCTGCAGGCCCGCTGGCGTGCTCACGGCGGCCTCAGCTCCCATGCTGTGCAGCTGGTGCGGCCAGGCCTGGCCAAGGTGGGCGGCCTGGAGCATGGGCGCCCGCTGCACCAATGCTGGCTGCAGCCCAGGTGAGTGCCTGCCTCCCTGTCCTGCCCCGGTGGCCCCGTCCGGCAGCCGCTGACTCACCGGGTCCCTTGGCCTCCACAGGCCACGGCAGGGCTACCCCTGGGGAGGCCCAGGCCCAGGGCTGCCCCCGCCTCCTGAGCTGTACCCATGGCTGCCGCTGGAGCTCATCCGCGGTGACACGCCTGCGGCCACCTCAGACCTCTACAGCTTCTGCGTCCTGGCCCAGGAGGTCTTCACGGGTCAGTGAGTAACCCTGCTCCCAGCCCCGCTGAGGCCCCCCCACCTCGGTTGGGTCCCCCAATCATGCTTCCTCACAGGAGAGCTGCCCTGGGCTGGAAGGAAAGGGCCTGAGGTGAAGGCTAAACTGGAGGCGGGTGAGAGCCCGGCCCTGGACCCCCTGGTGCCAGCCCCCTACCAGGCCCTGGTTCGGGCTGGGCTGGGCCTAGGGCCTGCTGACCGCTGTGGCAGCCTGCAGAGTACACGATACCTGCTGCGGGAGGCCGTGGCCCAGGTACAGGACAGGCGGGCCGGGGAGGGTGGTCGCCATGGAACCTCGGGCAGGGCCTGTGTCCCACACCCAGCCTCCTTTCCACAGGACTCCGCCTCTGAGGTGAGCCCCCCAAGGGACTGGACCACACAGTGCCCTCCACCCCAGGGTTCTCCACCAGGTCAGAGGGCACAGGGGATGGGAGCAGGTGTTGAGCAAAGCTCAGCTGTGCCCCCACCCCGTTTCCAACTAGCTGGTCTACAAGCCCAGAGACACTGTACGTGAGGTGGCTCCCGGAGCCAAGACTGCTCCCACGCCTGTGCCCCGCTGTGATGTTCCCAGGGCCCTCCCCTCCTAGGCAGGAGCCAGGACAGGCACGTGGAGGACCGAGGGAGCTGTGGGCCACCCACGCCAGCCCTCTGCCATCACTCTCTGCAGGTCATGGGCCACAGCACAGTCCAGAAGGGTGCCACCTGGGACTCGGGCAGCAGCTTGACTCTAGGCAGCAGCCCAAGTCCCCGCCCTGGCCTCTGCCCAGGGCACAGCCCCACAGCCAGGGTCAGCCTGGACCGCAGCCTGGAGCCCAGATCAACAGTATGGATACCCCGAGTCCTGCGCCATCGTCCATTTGCTCACCCGTGACCCTTCCCCCCAGTTGTCACCAACCCCAATTTCCTTGGGTGCCTCTCCTCTGACCAGGGACCCCCTGGGACCCCCACTATTCCCCTCGCTGACCAGTGACCCCCCTCCCCCGACCAACCCTGCTTCCCCCAGGGCCCCGCCCTGCATGCCAGCCTTCAGGACTCAGCCTCCCTGCTGGGGACTCAGAGCTCTGAGGAGCAGTTTGAGAGGAAGTTCTCAGCCAAGATCCAAGCCCTGCGGGGGCTGCGGCAGCACACACACAGGGCTGCCCTGCTGGACCCCCAGCCCCGTGAGCCCAGCCCCTGCCTGCTGACCCACAGGGAGGCTTCCCACGCCCTGGAGGCTGCTGGCAGGGAAGGCCACGAGGGCAGGTGAAGCAGAGGGCCCTGAGCCCAGGCCCTGCCCCAACCCGCCCTCCCAGGGCCCTCCTGAGCTCCGTGGCCACCGGTGGCAGCTCTAGTCTTTACTCCTGCAGGTACCCAGCCCTGAGCTGATCAGAGGAAGTCGCTTCTCCAGCCTGCAGAAGTGAGAAGTGGGGTGCTGGTGGGAAGGCCCCGGGCCCCTTCCTCCTCCCCGAGGTCAACCTCAGCCCACCCCTACCCCACCCTCTCCCAGGATGGATCTGCTGGAGGAGATCATAGCAGAGCTGCAAGGTGGATGCCAACTTGAAGACGGGCCCAGGCTCAATCCCACTCCTGACACACATTGTTAGGGCACCCATGGCCCCTCATCTGCAGATGTCACCCCTGGGAACCTCCCAGGAGTGACTCCCCACTTAGCCCCTGCTGAAATGATAAAATGAGAAAGCAACCCACCTGTCACTGCCTCTCTATTCATTGATCCTGGCCCCAGCATGACACCAGCAGCCACATTTTCACCATTTTTATTCATTAATTTTGTCAGATGGTTTTAGTAGGGAGTGTGTGGGGAGATATCAGGAGCAGTCCCCCACCCCCTGTGCACAGGACAGGACATGCTGAGGACCCCTGGAGGGAAAGGGAGGGTAAGGAGTCAGCCTAACCCTCTCAGATTTGTGCGAGAGGCCCCCCAGGATGGGGGGACGGGTATGCCCGTCAGCCCAGGGTAGGTAGGCTATGATAACAGGTTAGGGACCCACGTCAAAGGCAAGTTACAAAGTTAGAAACCTGGGGTAGAAGCTCAGGAAAATACAAAACAAGGGATTGGGTTGGACCAAGATCAGTGAGAGGGGAAGAAAAAGGAAGGTCCCCCCCAGCTCTGGCTCAGCAGTAGCTTCGGGTCTGGCTCTCAGGGTGGAAGGACCAGCTGGGAGTAGGGTAGGGGGGTGGGGGACCAGCCCCCTCCCTCCCTTGCCCCCCACTTCTGTACAGGGACCCTCGGTGGTGCTCACGCCCCCTCCCATAGGCTGGTGGGGCTGCCCTGTAGGGGAGAGGGTCTGGAGGACCCCAGGGCCCAGGCACCCTGTGAGGGGTGTGGTGGCCCCAGGGGGCCCGCTGCTTTTGGGGGAGGCGGGGGGCTGGGGGGCCAGGATCAGAGCGACTGCGGGGGTGGGCAGGAGGGGAGGAGGAGCTGGAAGAAGCGGGTGAGGGGCCCCTGGGCCCGAGGGCTAGGTTGACATAGAGGGGTTCAGGTCGGGTGGGGCGCCGGGCCGAGTGCTGGGGGGCTGAGTAGCCAAGGTGGTCATGGGGAAAACAGGAGGGGGGCGGTGGGTAACTGAGCAGGAAGTCGGGGGACCTGTGGAGTGGTGGGGATTGGCCAAGCATGCCGTAGGAGGCATTGAGCCTGTCTGGGGGCATGGAGCGCAAGGGACTCCAGGACCGAGTGGGGCCAGAGTAGGGGGACCCCTCACCCGCCTCGATCTCATAGTACAGGTTCTCTCCTCTGTCCAGTGGTCCAGGAGGAACCAGGGGGCTCCTCCAGACTGGGGCTGGGGAGCTGGGCTGGAAGGATGGGGAGCCGAGGGGGTACAAGCCTGGTTTGGGGACCCCGAGGAAGGGTGGCAGGCACTCCCGGGGGGCTGAGAAGAAGCCAGGGGTGGGAACCTGCTGGGGGACAGAACACAGGAGCTGGGCTGCCATCTCTGGCACAGCCCTGCACCCCCCACCCATCCTGAGCTGGGCACTGACCTGGGCAGGGCCTCGGGGTGCCCTCCTGGAGGTCCCTGCGGGCCGCTGGCTCCTCACCAGGCTCCCATCACTTTGTTGCCTTGGTAAGGAGGGCTGGGGTCCTGGAACCCAGCTGCCTGGGTGGGCTAGGGGGTGGGGGGGTGGCCCACTCCCTGAGGTCCCTGGGGGCTCACCGCCCACCTCCAGGGACAGGGAACGGCGGAAAGGGGACTGAGGAGCAGATGGGGTGCTCCCCTGCTCCTGCTGGCTCTGTCTCTGGGCCACCTGCTGAGCCCGCTCAGCCAGGGCCAGGGCCATGAGGCGTGCTGGATTTTTGGGAGGCGGGGGTGGGGCCCCCCCGGGGCGCAGGAGGGACAGGGGTGGGGGCAGCAGCGGTGAATCCATACCAGCACCTAGGAGAGGAATGGGAAGAGGAGTCAGCCAGGTCTTGGGCACAGCCTCGGGATTGTGAGGGGGTGGGCTGGGCTGGGCTGGACAGGACACACCATGCTGGCCTTGGGCTCCCCGGGGACCAGGCAATGCCAACTTGCTGCAGATCTCTTGTTGGCAGGTGTCACTCAGCTGGGCCTCAGCTCCACGCAGCAGCAAAGGGATGAGGTGGGGGCGCAGGCCCGGGCTGGAGCTGAGGGCTGGTGTTGGGGTGGCTGAGGCAGGTGTTCCTCCAGCCCCCAGCAGCTCCAGGACAGCGGGTGGCACCGACACAGACAGGGGCTCCGAGATGTCCAGGGCAGCAGGTGAGGCAGGGCTGGTGGGGCCTCGGGGCGAGAGGGCCTGGGGGGTCGCCCTGGGTGGAAAGGAAGAGGCAGGGGCTGGGGGGGCCGGGCTGGCAGGAGGTGCCGGGTCCCCGGGGGTGGGGCTGCTGCAGCGAAAGGTAAGGGGATCAAAGTCAAGCCCCCGGAGCCCCTCCAGGCAGCGGGGTGGGCTAAAGTCCAGCTCGTCACCGTCGTCTAGCCAGGCCGAGGTTCGGTGTGAAGGGGAGCCAGAGAGTGCTCCCAGCCCAGCTGTGGAGGACTCGGAGGAAGAGGAGGAGGACGACTCGGAGGAGGACTCGGTGGACTCGGATGACGACAGGCTCTCGCAGGAGCCAGCGGGTGCGGGGCCCACGGGGAAGGCATCACTGCTGGAGTGGGGTCGCCGTAGCCTGTGCAGCCGCTGGAGACCTGGAAGGGCGGTGCGGGGGAGGGGGAGTTAGGGGTCAGGGGTCAGAACTACCTACCCAGATAACATCAGTGAGAACAGGACACACCCCCCCAAGTAAGTTGGGGAAATAACACACAGAGACACATCCCTGCCTAGGGTCACGATGGCTGGGGATCCAGGGAGAGCTGTGCAGACTCACGGGTGATAGAGGACATCATGGCAAGTCCATGAAGAGAATTATATTGTTCCAGTGGCAAGAACAAAGTCTTGACAACCCCACTGGCTACAAGCTCGAGACCAACAGGCTCTCAAACCCGGTGGCTGGGAGGACAGCCTGGGGAGACCACATCTGGGAACTACCTGGGCCTCGTCTTGTACAGCTGGATGTGGGCGTATTGTACAGTGTGCGCCTCCACTCTTGGGCGCGCTTGTCAGAGCCCCCAGATCCATCAGGGGGGCATGGACAAGTACCCCCTCCCCTGAGGAATACCCACACTCTACAATGGACAGTAGAGGAAGGAACCTGAGCTACACCAGCTGTGCTGACGGCAACCTGTGACGTAGTGATGAGTTAGTACACACAGCACGATACCCCTTTTTAATGATACTCTTTAATCAAAGTTTCAAAACAACTAGTGGTATGTTGTTGATCCCTACACCTGTATGTGACATAACTGTAAAAGCAAAGGGATGAAGACTATCAGAGGATGCCTGATGTGGGGAGGCAGCAGGTAGGAGGGGGAGGAGTTCGCAGGTACTGTGGTGGGAGGCCTTTAGTTCTGGCCAGTGGGTTCATGGGTGTTCATGATACTATTTAGTTTTTTCCAAAAGGGATGAACAAAAGACTAGAAGGACCCTGCGTGGGCCAATGACCACAGTGCATTGTGAACCAAGAGTGAAGCTTTATCAAACTTACTGTATGTAAGGTCCAGATTATAACAAAAAATTCCAGGACCCCCAAATCTAAGAACACTACGTGGAGGCCAGCTCAGAGCCCTAGTCCCTCCCAGATCCACCTGGGCACAGGCAGGGGTCACCCCGTGCTCACCAGCCCCACTGGCCTGCGATGACAGAGACTCCTCACTCTTGGCAGACCTCAGTGTGACGGTGTCAGGTCGGCAGCCTGCAAGGAGAGGATGAAGGGTCATGGGCGCACTCCAGGGTGCCTCTCCAGCCACCACGCCCACTGCCGGTTTCTGACCTGAAGGCTGCTGTCGGGCCCGGGTGCCCCCTAGCCAGGGCAGAGGCTTCTTTCGGGGGATGCTGGGGCCTCGACCCAGTGCAAAGAAGGTCTTCCAGCTGCTACCCCCAGGTTTCCGCTGTTTCTCGCCTCTCTCCCCTTTCCTCCTGGAGTTTGGGTCAAGACATAGGAGGCCAGCTGAGGAGCTGGGTCCCCCGGCCAGTCCCTCCCTTCTGGGCGTCCTACTCACCTTTCCACAGGTGAAGTTGGGGCCTTGGAAGTTGTGGGCTCTGTGGGTATCCCCAGCCGACCCTGGGTCCGAGCCTGGGCTTCCTCTAGTGTTAGCAGGCGAGTGGAGGGGCCGCTGCCCGCAAGGGACTTGGGCCTGGGGAGGAGGCAGCGGCCTGGGGAGTTGGGAGAGGGGGCAGCCGTCAGCCCTGGGGCTGCTGAAGGCCACAGGCAAAGCCAAGCGCTACAGCCCAAGCCCCGGCCCCGCAGCGTGCCCACCCGGGCTGGCAAGGCAGGGGGCTAGGACGGATCAGGCGGGAATGGGTGGGCAGCAGGCAGGTGAGGAGGAGGAGTGAGGCAGAACGAGCTGATGAGGAGGCAGCTCCCAGCAGCCAGCGAGGACAGCGGCTCTGGCTTCAGTTACCTCGGGCCAGGGGGCCCTCCGACGTGCTGAGTCCTGACTGGGCTGGGGTCCGGGGCAGGGCAGGGAGTCTGGGTGGGGCCAGGGCAGGGTCAAGTCTGGGGACCTCCCACCTCCTCCCAGGTGGACCCATGGCCCCAAGTGCCCCCAGGAGCTACAAGGGGTGAAGGAAGAACGATGTCCGGGCCAAGAAGTGGGGATCCTGAGCGTAGGAGCTGAAATGAGAAGGGGGGGGAAGGGGAGGGAGAGGCCGGGGCGGGGTCCTCAAGGAACCAGAAGGGAGGTCCAGCTTCAGTGGGATAGGGATGGGGCTGGGAGCCCACCTGCCCTCCCACTGCAGCCCTGATGATGGGGGGGTGGTAGTCAGTACATGGGATAGGATGGGCATACCTGCAGGGTCAAGGCCAGCAGATGTGAAGGTGTCGCTGAACAGGACATCCACGTGGGTGAGCAGGAATTCCACCACCACCGACTGTACCCGCACCTCTCGGAAGGCTGCTGCCCCCCCTAGCCCCACTGACTCCAGCTCCATGGACCTGGATGGGAGGAGGAGGAGGGTGGGCGGGCGCCTGGAGCCCCAGCTGGTGGGTTCTGGCCAGGGGGGGTTGGGGCACTGTGGAAGCAGTGACTGTCATTCAATGTCTCTGACCTTATCAAACTGATCACATCTATAACCAGATTCTCAGCCTTTCCCCAGAACCTGCTCCCTCCCTACCTATCCCATCTTAGTCAATAC